CTTTTTTGAACACTTCAATGAACTTTCATTTTTTCAGCTGACCGAAAAGATATTTGGTATTTTTGACATATACATACCTACGCGTGGTAATTAATTAATTGGACTTTCATAAGTATGAGCTTGGAGTAGCCTTACTTTAATACAAAGAGATCGTAAAGCGTACATTCTATCCGCAATTTCCGCTAAGCCTCAATTATTTTTCATCTTATGAAACACACAGTGCAATATTCCTTGGTTAACCTCCCAGTGGAAGAGAGCTTCTGGAGAAAGCGGAATATCACTGCGAGCAAATGGTCTTTTTAAGTTCGAAGTCAAGTACGGTTTCATTGTTTATCAATAAAGATGATGCCAGGTGAAACAGGAAACCAAAATAAAAAAAAAAACGTGACGCTTGTGTAGACCTTATTTTCTGCACTAAGAATGTCATTCTAAATAAAAAAAAAGTCTCAATAAAACTAGCCAAGTCTGATTTGGTCAACGGTTAAAAGGGTTTGCAAACATCTCAGCACACTTACTGCGGTGAAACGTTAATAGGCGAGTATAATGAAAGAACGCAGAAACAAAACAAAAACAAAACAAAAACAAAAAAACGAAAGGGTCGAATTACGGTGGAAAAGAGGAACGTAGAGGAAGATCAGAGTTTCTGTATATCGTTCTTTTTCCTTGTTTATCAGTTATAGATATCGAAAGACGTCCAGCCAAAGTTTCGCAAATGCGGCTGCTTCCATCGGTTATATGACCCCTAATTTAGTACCTTAAAGCACCGACGGAAAGTGTGGAACATTCATGAAACTAAATTCTCTCTCGGCTTTGCCGGAGGCTACCGTCTTGCGTATTATTTGTGCTCCAATCTCCCACAATAAATCATTAATCAATCTACCATAAATCGGTTATTGGTTGGCAAGACTGGCAGGTGGTTTAATACATCCCCGATTCCATTTGGGGAGAAACCCAATTGTCAAGAACTCAAGCAGTTGTATAGTTAACCTGTTGCAAGCCTCAAAAATCAGCATCAACTATAGCTAGACTGCTCAACCATTTTTTATTTTTGTGATATAGAAATGTGCCCCATCGAAATTGACCCTTGTTGTTTTGGTCAACAATTTTGCTGCTCTTTGAAGGTAAAAGCGTACTATAAAGCGATCCTGGCGTTGAGTTACAGGCCATCAGGAGTAGGAATTGACTATTGCTGCTATTGTTTTGTACTTTTCTAACGGTGTAATCATGATTAACTGATAACCAATCGAATGCACTGTGAGTTTTCTGCACGGATAGTAGTCTCCAGTCTTCTCTTAGTATGCTATCTTCCTGTTTTTTTCGTTGCCAATTGACAGCCCTCCCATGGGAAATTTAACACCCTTTTGAGCACTTTAAAACAAACATGTCATTAAAGGATGGCGTTAATAGGGCAGAAGGTAAATTGGAAACTTTTGAGAAACAATTTACGAGAAAGGCAGCAAATTAAACTTAATGGCGATAGTACAGGTGTCTCTCCAGAGAATTTCAGAGAAAACGTAATTCAAGTAAGATCGGTATCAAAGCTGAAGAGACTCAACGAAACCATATACAAAAAAGCACAATGAAAGGAAAATAACCCGCCGCGCGTAAGTGCACTCTTTTATTTGTCAAGTCATCCTTATTAAATTCTTAAAAGTAAATTGGGTGGTTCCGTGTAAGAAATGCAAATATTTGTATCACCTGGGGGCGATTCAACATAGATTTCAAAACCATGACATATTACACCAGTTTTTCCACTCGTTTACTCATTTCAAATCTTTGATCTGAAGTTCTGACTTACTTAAATCTGAGGTCATTGCAACTGAGTCGATTTTTCAAATAACAAACTTTACTTGACATGATCCTTTGCTGTCTAAGGTAACGTTTAAATCTTCTTCATCTTATTCATTTTGCATAAAGAAAAAACTCAGAGGGATTCAAATATCTTTTTTTGATCCGATCGCCGGTGAGATGAAGCCGAATTGGTGCCTCCATTTGGAATAAGGCAAGTATGATTTTTACTTCAGTTCAAAGCATTTGTTGTTCTAAAGTTTATTGCCAGCACAGCTGTTGTTAAATTCTGTTGTTTAATTTCAAGGAAACTCGACGACGAATTAATTGTCTATCTTAAACACTGAAGCCTAAATTTTTAAGAAATGCAATTTTCAAGTCATGCAAATGATCAATATCCTTTGTTAAGTTTTGTGGTAAATACATTCTCCTTCACGACTTTTATAATTTAAACCGCGTTTCATTCTTTTTAAACACGATCCTTTTTTAAGTCTTAAAGTGGACTGCTGATGTGCGACTCAGCCAAGAACTATTGGCCGAATTTAGATTATTTCTGCTTTTGTTCGTTCAAATAGTAAGGTAATTCCTTCAGGTAGTTACAAAAAGAAGAAATGAGAGATTCTGTGAATATAGCGTGTTATCGCTCAACTCTCCGCTCCGAGGTCCAGCTGAATTTTTAAAAAGTGCGAAGTCACGAAATAATTTTACGAGCAAAATACTTCCTCAACAGGAACATTTGGAAATGATTTTGCTTCATGCAGCAATATTTGACGTTTAAGATAGCTTTTGCATGAAATAGTAGTGAAGCTAAAATAGGCTTCATGCACGAAAAGGAATTTCCACGGAAATTATTATTCATTTAAGCTGTGTTCAGTTGTAGCTATCGTAACAACGGAATTAGGACGCGGCTAACAAATTATGAAATTAAAGAAAACTTGCTCCTTTCTTAAAAAAAAAAACTGTGTGAAATGCATAGCAAAAAACGAAAAAAAACGCAAAAACAAAAGCAAAACAAACAAACAAAAAAAAAAAAAACAAATGAAGAGACCACCACCCCTCCGCCCTCCGCCCTCCTTATATCATTACTGTCATCAGCGGCGCTCCCTGCTGTTAGTTTGAGACTATTAAGAGCTATTGGAAAAACAAATTTCGTCATGGGTGTAGATGCACTCTTCGTAGTGATCTACAGTCGGAGTTAAAGCAGTTGAATTTTCAGAATATCATGTTTTCCAGAAATTTCCACGATTCTGAAATTCACAGTTTAAAATGAAAGATGACACAGAATGATTTATGCCACTGTACTTCACCGGAAAAAAATTCGTTTTTCACGATATAACCTATTTAGCTGGTAGAAACAAAAAAAATATTAAACAACACTTATTTGATCCTGTTAATAACAAAAAGTTTCGATGACTATCAGTGTCGCCTTCACAGGCCTGGTGAGTTCCGTTTGAAAACCTGCAAATCATAAATAGACAGTCCATGACGGTCCGACATAACAGATAATTACAATGAATATCAATCGAACTTTCCTTTTCTTAAGAAAAAAACATGGTTCATAATTTTTTTCCTGTTTAAAATGGACGCACGAAAACTCACATATATCAAACTTTCCAACGAACACGGAGAAACGTTCACTGGTTAAGTGAGAGGATTTTTTGTGCAGCATTTTGCGAAAGATAGGAAATTATTTTTGGGTTAGACAGTACTTTTTCTGTCCTACTTTTTATGCTATTCCCTCAGATATATCTCTACCGGAATTGAGAATTTTCAAAGAAAGGCTCAGGAAATAGTTTCCGCCTTTATTCTTTAAGCGAGAAAAAGATGAACTTTTCACCCCTGGAATCTAATCTATTTAAAAAAGTAGATGTGAGTTGCTTCACAAAACCGGACATTTATTTTCCGGAAAGAAAGGCCATTGTCTGTTCGTGGCTCTCTTTTTTCAATTTTGACCCTTGTAATCAACAACAAGGCTATTCGTATGTGAGCTCCTTCGAAATGACGTTTGGCTTTGCTTCTCCCTCGATTCCTAAAACGCATCTAACCGTTCCACAAGGCCTCGAGATAAGAGATAACAATATGAAACCAAGTTCAAAGTATCTGTAAATTATAAAACTGAAACGATTTTTTTGTTTCAATCTCGCTTCTGAGTCTCATCCTATTTCGATTTCCTTCCTTCCATAACAGACAAAAATATTACATTCAGATTCGCTATGGTAACAGACGAGGCCACAGTGATTTTGACCGTGATCTACGTGGTAACAATGGTCGTTGCCTTTGCTGGTAACACGCTTCTGATCTACTTCGTGTGGAAGAAACCGGAAGTTCGATCAATGACCAGCTCCATGTTCGTCAACATGGCGGTGGCTGATTTGTTAATTACGCTAATTGTAATGCCTTTCTCCGTTATTCACCTACACAATGGCGGCAAATGGCTTATAGTTCATGATCTGGCGGGGGAAATAACATGCAGAGGCTTTTACTTTGTTGCAATGGTCACTGCGGTTTCTTCGATACTGTGCCTGGCGTTCATGGCTTACGACAGATACACGGCGATTCTTCACCCTTTCCGCCCCCTTCAATGTATTCGTAAGGCAAAGTACGCTGCACCTATCATCTGGATTCTCTCAATGCTATTAATGTCTATAATTCTTGTTATTTCGGATTTTGATCCGTTGCAGGACTTTTGCGGTTTCAACTTTGACATCTTGGGAAAAGAGAGCACCACAGTTCTTGGCGGAATTTTCGTTTACTTGTTTGTAGTCCAATATTTTTTGCCACTAAGTGTCACATCCATCCTGTACGCTAAAACCGCTCACAAATTGTGGTTTCGTCAAGTTCCCGGGAATTATTTGTCACAAAATCAGAGGCAACAGGAAATCGCCAAGAGAAAAGTGGTCAGAATGCTTGTCATCGTTGTCGCTGTATTTGCTGTGTGTTGGCTACCCATGCAATTCTTTCAGCTGTATCAGGTGATCAAAGAAACGCAGCCATTGCCTCCCTTTGCTATGTACCTCTGCTACTGGTTGGGTCATGGCAATAGTGCCATAAACCCATGGTTGTACATCTCCTTGAGCTCAAGGCTCCGCCTGGCGTTTATCCGAATGGTAAAAAAGAAATTCAGTCGGCCAGCCGGAAGAGTGCGTTTGAAGAAGACAGCGGCGACAACTAATCTCCTAACACATGGAACACATGTGGAGTCTTCTGTATAACATGGAAAAATTGAAACAAAACTGACTACTGCAAATACAAATCTGATAAAAAGGTATAAGAAATTCAGCAAATTTTGGTTGATTAATTTGATAGCTTTAAATACATTCATTGCCTTGTCTTCATTTATTACCCTATTGCAAGTGGCGTACCAATTTCATAAGGATGATTCAGTGATAAAAATTTCTAAACGTATCAGCTAACGGACATCATCTCTGGTAATAAAATACAATGTTTACTAACTAACGAGGAAAATGCTCAGCAGCCAGCAAGGAGTTCTGCAAATTTATTCACAGAATTGAAGTCTTCAACTCGCAGCCAGTAGAATCAACAATTTTCTTCATTTGCCAGGCATAATTATTTTTTGCAGTAAGGGTCCACACCATTTGGCTGTTTCAAACTCATCGGAGAAACTTAGCGTAAATAAATTGAGATTAAAGTATAAATTGAAGTAGGGAACGGTCTCCCGTGATATTTCGGTCAAGTGAATGTGAATAAAAACTATGTACGTGCTCAGAGATAAATGTAGGAAGTAATATCTCTTATTCTCACCATGTAGGAATTTTGTTTTTGAGGTCACAACCTTACAGGACGATGAGTTGAGGATTTCCGAGTAACTGCACGTTGTAACATCATCCAGTGTGGTAAAAAGTAACTTTCACCTCAAACATGAGAGTAGTTTGGTTTTGTAGTCTCGTTTGGGATGGGCTTGTACATACAAATCGCAAATAAATTCTAGGTTTTATGTTAGCTCATGACAGTAAACACCTTCCCACAAAAGGTTAAGTTAAACTAAAACTGTTGTAAGGGTGCATGATACTGGAGCTATTTTATCAGTGGGCGGGTCCTGCAACGGTGTCCTACTGGCCGTTGAAGACATGTCATGTTGTTCTATTATCTCGATAACATATAGTTTTTTTTTTTAATAAGGTAATTGGAGGGGAAGGTGTTATAACAGCGACTTATCGGCGATTAGGGGCAAACCAAGCTGTTCTGTTATTATACAATATGACTTTTTCTTGACAAAGAGAGGGGTCGGTTAGAGCCAAGTTCACTTCTCCTTTTTCAAGTTATGCTCTTGGTTCTATTTAAAAGAGACAACCTGACGCCAGTGGCCAGCCTGAGAACTGGGAAAAAGGATTGAGAGATCGAAACGCACATTCTTATCCATTATTAAACTTTTCATCACATTGTACAAATTATTTTAAAAGAAGTTAAGATACCTGGCCTTGACATTTTTCACAATCTAAATTTTGTCAATGAAAAAAACACCGCCTTCTATATAATCTTATCGTCATTATTAATTGATTTAACAACCCGAACTTACTAGGTTACTCCACGAACATTTTTCTCCTTTCCAACCATCAAAAAGCTTTATCACCGTCTTGACTGAGCTTCCCTCCCTCTCTTAATTTCTGCAGCAATTTTTTTAAAGAGATAAATATATCTTATTACACGTTTTGGTGTGTAGTATCGCTGAGTATTTTTCCGAGTTTACAAACAACGATTGAAAATACCCTGCGATACCATACACTAAAATGTCTCATAAGTTATTTATTATCCAACGGTCTTTCTGTTCAATTTTCAAAGGGCGGGAAAAGAAAAGCGGATAGTAGAGTGTAGCGCGCAGCGGACTGGTTAAACAAGTTTTTTTACTACTCAAAATAACCAACTGTCCAAATAACCGTGCAATATCGCAGGATATTTGTACTCTATTTTGTGCAGTTGGATAATGATAGCTTTTAGCCTTGTCTTCTTAAAAAAACTTCCATTCATACATACTGAATGCAAATCAATATTTTCACGCGTAAGCCTCGTATATTCGTATTATTAATTGCCAATCTTGTGAGTTCCTTTTTATATTTGTTGTCAAAACATTTAGTTGCGGTATAATTTTTAGTTTTACTTTAATGAAGGGGTGAGTAAAGATTATAAAAATTAATATGTAAAAAAAACTACAGTTCCACCAATGACATTAAATAAGTTATAACGTCTCTCTCTCTCTCTCCCTCCTTCAGTTTTTTGCCCAAAAAAGTAATTGGATATGTCAGGAATTTGAACTAAATTATCACCGTTTCAGTCCATGAAATGCTGAAATATGCACGCATTTTGATTGGTCTGTGGTCACGATCTTTTGGAGGAAGACGCATTGATGACCCCACCATTGTTTTCGTTTATTTATTATCAAATCAAACAAGCATGTTGTCGTTGGTCTGTACAGTAACAGATCACAGAGGACGTCAAAATGTGATAAGACCATCGGTGAAAAAACTCGGTGCTCAGCTGTCTGTGTCTTCAGTGTATCGCGGAAAACTTACTAGCGATGTTATTATCCAAACTGGAGTAAACCAGTGCGAAATTTAAGTCTCGCTCTTTGTCAAAATGCCCCCAAATTTCCCTTTGTTTTTCATTTAACAAACAACATAAGCTTATATCTATCTTCGCTTTCTCCTACAGGTCATCCAAATTTTCCACATTTAGATACTTAGTCTCGCCTATAGAACGAAATAAACGCCCCCAAGCTCTCCTGAATCTGGATATCCTTTGGTGGCATAGGAAAGTGTTACAAGCGATTGTTTTTAGTTATTGCGAATAATAGAAATAATATAACCAGAATTTACCTCTGTTGACCCTGTAACCATTTTCTAACTATCGTGAATTATGAAAGATTTACATTATAACAACACTCCAAACTTGAAATTTATACTTTGATGGCGTCGAAAGACAACGTGGTGTCGAAATTTCGCTCAGAAGGAGAAGAAGAACAACAAAAGAGAACTGAGCGTTGAAGCGTCTTTCCTTTAACACGTGCAATCCCAGTGCATTATTGCATAGGGAACAGAGGTTATTTACGAACAAAAGCATTCATGAAAAGCAAAACGTTCATGAAGATCTGTGGGCCAGGCGCTCAGCATACTCGACTACAAGTAGATATAGATACGATGTATATGTCCGATAGGTTTACTTTTACTTTACTTGCCTGTCATGAATTAATGCTACTGCAAAGGTCTTTTCAAAACTGTTAAAATGAAATAAAAAGCACAATTATGTTTGCAAAAGCGGCATACTAATTCAATTGATCAGCGCTACCTGAAACACGAAGGAACATCGACTGGACTTTGTCGGTAAATTGAAGTTTTATAGCCAACAACATCTTGGATGATTATCGTCGTGCTTAAGACGCGGCTATGGAGTTGGCTCGGAATTACTTCGTAACATGCAGCCGGCTGATTCTTCCTTATTTATTCCAGTTTTGCAAAGTCTCCTTTCTTAACTCCTGTGATATTATTTACTACCCAGTCCAGGCATCCATCACTTTCCTGCTCCCACAACACCAACGAATTTTCGATTTTTGTTTTAATTACATTTATCGTTTACACCGTGTATATACAGTTCTGTGTGTTTATCTTAAATCTAGCGCTCATAACGCAAATCAGTTATAGGAAACTTTCATTTACCAAATTTGTAGTAAATGTTTCATGTTATGAAAGAGATTACAGCCTTGATTCTTTCCGGACAGCTTCCTGCTCAGGTGATAAAAAGGCATTTTCATCTTCAGTTTCTGTTTTGTCTGTGGCTAAACTTAATATGATAAGACTGTTATTACTGAGTAAATAATCAGTAAAGGGAACAACCGTGGCCCCTAAAATCTTTTGACGGAGTGCTTGTATTTGGACAGGCAACAGGTGTTAACAGCTTGTTAACCAATCAAATTCCAGCAGGACAAACCCTATTCAATGTTAAGTATCAGCCGGGAACATAAAGAGGCTCAAATTAAGGCAGAATCTGCACCTCTTCCAACTGATAACTGACTGACGATAGAAAAAGAAACACTCCGTTCCTTTTATCAGTTCCCAACTGCGAACTCTCAGTTGGGAACTGACAGATCGGAAAAGCTACATTAGACACCCACTTTAATCCGCTGTGACAACAAATTAGCCATGTAAATATATTTTCCAAAACTCTGATCACAAAAAAGTCTTAGCGAAAACCGTGTTACCACGCAATACATGCGAAATAAAAAATGATAATAATTTGAACATTTTTCAGTTATTTTGAAAACTGATAAGTCTTTAGAAAATATCCATAGTGATGGCGAAGGCATTCTGCACGCAAAAATAGCGGCATAGAAAAAAAATAAATATATTTTCAGTAATTTGTATGACAAAATGAGAGTACGGTATGCTACCATGCAATCATAAAAATATACGAAGAGAGATTAGAAAATGAAATTACCAAGATTGACGCAATTTGAAGTTGAAACTGTAAAAATTTGAAAGAAAGATGTCATCAAGGTGTTTTGGTTGAATTTTACATAGCGATCACCATGCTTGAATCGTCACGCGTCGTGGATTAGTAGTAAGAAACGAGTACATACCAAACGAACAACGCTTCATTTTTTTGTTAGAAACGGAGAACGATTCCCTTTGTTGTTAGAAACGAACAACTCTTTTAGAATCGTTACTCATACATATTTCTATTCCGAGCATACGATCGATTTCTGTGTAGTCAAAGTCTTGATGGTATTGTTAGAAATCAATAAAGAATTTCTCAAGCTTACGAAACGTTCGTGAGTAAGAAACGGTAACATACCAAACGAACAACGCTGGATTTTTTGTTGGCAACGAACAACGTTTCTCTTTGTTGTTAGGAACGAACAACACTTTAAGAATCTTCATGATGTTGTCGGAAACAAAGAGCGCTTTAGTGATAAAAATTTCTCAACGTTATTGCCTATTAACAGTCTGAAATTCATATCTTTTAGTATTTGTTTCTTCGGGCGACTTGACTTTTTTTTTCGGGCGACATAGCTAAAAATTTCGGGCAACGTGACTCAGGTTTCGGGCGATATGACTTCGGGCGAGATGACTCTCGGGCGACTTGACGGTAAACCATCCTGTCAATGTTGCCTCATCAACGCATCGAAAGTGTCTTGAATCGGGAGATTGTTTAAGGCAGAAGATATTTTAATCTAGAAATATTTACTTTTCTTTCTCAAGAT